CTCTGGGCGATGCGCGAGCTAACGAGTTGGTGTAGACGCTGCACCTTGCGATACTTCCTCCTATAGTTGCGCAGGGGATGAGGACTGTTTGCCCGTCGAGCATGCGAAATGTGTCGACGAAGATTGTCGGAGACAGCTTCTAGAGCCTCAAGCAGCTCCACCTCTGTGTGTTGCACAGTTGGGGTAGGCCGCTTTGGAGTAGCGGCTGGATCAGGGGCACGCAGGGATGCAGTACTTGAGCGCCTATTGGAAGCTTTGACACGCAGCTTCTGTGCAGCTTGGATGTCTCCCTTAATCTCAGCTACAACGGACTCCTTCAAGAGGGTCCGGGCTTCAAGCATGAGGGTTCGCCGCTCCTTCTTCGTCTTGGCAGAAGCACGCTTGCATTGCTTCTTAGACTGGGCCTCCTGGAATTGGGTCACATCTTGAGCTTGTTGCATGTAGACCTTGGAGCCATACTCGAAGAATGTCACCGGTGGTAGTGATCCAAACTGAATCACAAAGGGCGTCAGGGTGTTCTCGATGATGGAAAGTCCCCCTGCAAGAAGGAGCCTTGGTCAGGTACACTCCACGTTGAAGATCATCATGCAGCATGTTGGTGTTGGTTGGATGAACAGCGAAGACGAGCTTGACGACCACAGCATAGCGAAGATGGGAGGAGAACCAGGTCCCACTGGGCGTGCCAATTTGTTTAGGGTGGAAAATAACATCTAAGATCTCGTTTGTTTAGAGATACATATATGTGCGGGCGTGCCAGTGTACCTAAATACACAATGTAAACAAAACATAGGGAACATGCTCTTTATTAATCTTAAAAGATCATAAATACAAATTCCCAATGTAATATATATGTATGCGCGCTCCATAATCTGTCATTGGACAGATCTGACTTGTGCGATGTGGTCTCCTGGTTCCTGGGGCCTCGAGAAGCTCCCAGTTAATTACCTCCGCAGGTCTAGGCCTGCAAGAGAACCTCCGATTAAGCTGCTTGTGGTCGTCTCGTCGTCTTCGCTTCGCGTTCTTCATGCATGGTTGTGATGATGATATAGATGTGTGTGTGTGTGTGTGTGTGTGTGTGTGTGTGTGAGCGCCGACAGCGATCCATGGCCTCGTCGGTCCGTGCGCCTGTGTTGGTCGCCCACCCTCCGTCGTCTAGCCTCGTCGGTCTTGAATAACGTGTCGATGTAGATTGTTGGTGAAGACATGCATGGAGTTGCATAGCTTGAACGACTTGACGTCACAACAGTTGCGTCGAGATTATATTAGAGAAGAATTAGGGAGGAGTTATTGAAGATGGTTGATGTAGACGGCGGCCGGATTTAATCAAAGCTCGGCATCTCATTTGGGACAAATAAGAAAAACCAACAGGACTTCTTCAGCCCACGCATTGGTTTGTGCATGGCACTGTAGCAGCGATGACATGTCGTCCTCCGATTGGTTGGCCACGTTGCCACAATAATTAACTTAATCAACATGCATTAGCTAGCTTGTTGCCATCCAACAGCACTGGCTCGCCATCCTCCCGTCGTCCTTCCTCTGTACTGCAGCCATACTTGCCTCCATCGTCATCCGCTGGTTTCGACGCCATGCGTGATGCTTGACCTCCGGCATGAGAACTGATAGAAGTCTTGGCAGTCGGCGGCAGCTCCGGTGATCCTCGGCGCGCTCCGGCAGGGCGGCTTCCCGATGACCTCCTCCATGGTTAGCCCGCTCTAGTGCGGTGAAGCTTGCAAATCAAGGATGTCTGGTATCTCGGCGAGGTCGCAGCTTCGGGTAGATGCATCACCAACGGCTTGAATTAGCAGCGTCGAGTCCAGGGACAAGTAGCACTGCGTCGGCTTGAACAGACACCGGCATCGATGAGGCTTCTGTGGCACGTAGATGAATCGGCCACCGCGACTTCCCCGGCGACGACGATACGTGCAGATGGATCCCTATGCATAGATGTGTGCGTGCTGTTTAGATGAAAGAAAACGAAACAATCTTGCTAGCTTTTACCTGGACTAGCCATCAAGCTCCTCTCCTGCGCTTGCTGATGATCGGATCACCGCGCACGCCCTCTCCTGCCGGACGCCGGGACTCCGGCCGAAGTAGCTCGCCGCCGCCGGTGCGTGTCGTCGATGGATGGATCGCCGATGAGAGTTGATGGATGGATCGCCGATGAGAGTTGATGGATGGATGTGTTGATGCTGGATGGGTAGATGCGTTGATGATGGGTGGCTTGTGGATGCTAGATGCGTTGGTGAATGAATGTGTGGATGAGTTCGTGAATGCCCCTGGCTGCCGAGGGGTCGACGCCTTATATAGGGGTCTGGGGTCGGTGCTCGCCGCGTCCGCGCGCCGTTTCCTCCGCGTCAAGTTCGTTGCAGATAAGGCTTGATCGATCAGTTTGTTATTTGTTCATATCCTTATTTGATTTTATCTCTTAGCTTCTCCTGGCGTCAAATATCTGATTTGTAATTTGCTTTGTTTCTCTGCTGCTGGGCCACGGTCTGGTGATAAGCGCCTCACCAGCGCTCGCGCGAAGTAACTAACTAAATCAAGTTTGTTATAGAGATAAAATCAATTGGTTTGTTGGTTATCTCTTAATTCATCTGGTTTTATCTCTTCCGCATATTAACTTCTGAAATCTTGGCGCGTAGGCAGCTACCGTCTTCGGCCATGGGCCGAGCCCATGATTAATCACTCGGATATGCATAGGTTGCTTAATCACCCAGGCATGCACACACATACGACCGTCTACTGTAGTACATGCATGCATGCACGTGATTGCCTCACCAGCCAATCTTCACACGGCTAGTTATTGGTTAATTATACATGCATATATACTAATCCAAGTATATATATTCCCAGCTGCCTGTGCATGCATGTATTTGCGTGTATATACATGGCCGGGCATTGCGTAGAAATGATAAGCTAGCCAACTTACAAACTGCTTGTTTGCTTTGTCCATCATGAGTAAGTCTTGTGTACACATATAATCGCCAAAATACCATCAAACAGTTTGTCATAACTATTTCGTGAACAACGAGGGAATGTCTCCTCGAGAGTTTAGGATGGTTTCCGCTACATGTATGCCATTTCAAGAACTACCTCGTTCTTCTCCATCACAAAATAAAGGTAAAATAAAATGTAGCTACCTTTAACTACGTTGTCTATCTATTTATGCCACGAAAATAACAGCGGCAAAACTGCGAAAAGCTTCAGTTCTTTTTGTGGTCTGTGGCCATTTTTCGTGATGGAATTTAAAGCAGGTCGCCATTTAAATGGGAAAGTGTGCTTTTCGCGTTCGATCCATCGTCGTCGTCAATCAGGCTGTTGCCTTCGCGGCCGGCTGGTGAGAGTAGCTAATGCCTGCACTGCTAGCTAGACGTACGATCGTCCGGCTGTGTGATGCAACAGTTCGCGAACGGTATTTAATAGCCTGATAATCGCATATACCAAGAGGTTTTAATTTAAATGGTACGGATCCCATATATGCTGCCCTGATAGATAGATAGCCACATTTATCTTGGCTTTAGATCTCTCTTGTGCCACAACTACTAACATGCCCGGCATGCATGTCTTGTGCCACAACCACTAACAATAACATGCCGGCATGCTAGTTCGTTTTCAGTTGAAGAACTAACAACATCTAGTTGAACAGCACTGGTAGCTAGTGTAGTTGAGTTGGTTCTCTTTTGATGTAATTGATCCGTACGCATCACAAAACTGCAGAATATGGATTCGGTTTTCACTTAATTTGCACATAGTTCTTCAGTTTTCTCTCAGTGAGTCCACTGGATTGAGAATACAATAGGTTTTGGACCAAAATCTTAAGTTAGTTCACATGAGCTAGGCTCTAGCTTCCCTGGTTATCGGCCAAATCCTAGCCTTCATTCTCGTTATGTTCAATCAAAATTAAGAACTCAAGATTATTGTCCATCAGCACTGATATGTGGAAATCAAGTCCCTATTCTTTTCTTAATTTCTTATTTTGTCCCACCACTAATTCATAAGTCCAAACAAGTAGCTTTTCGTTGTGTCAAAATCCAAATTTTGTGTTGAAGTTTTCCAAACATCACCATCAGAAGAATATAATACTAATTGCATTTCTTTTGAAAACATAGTTGAATTGGCTTTCGTGTCTTCAGGACATGAGCAATGTGCACATTATGATATTATGTAGCGGGTTTGCACCTTTTGTGTTAGGATCAGAAACCCACGGGACATTTGATAATATGTTATATATCCTTAACATATGAGCGGCATATAATTTACCATTCTAACCTATATTTAGTGATGACTCAGATGATCTTATATGTCATGAGAGCGAAAATTACATTCTCCATAAGAATAGCAAATTATAAAGAATCCAAAACCCGGGGTTAGCAACATGTTACATATTTATATGTTGAAATCCCAAGGAGTATGTATGTGTCCTATTACGAATCCAATTATTGTGTGGCGGCTAGTGTGCTAACAAATTAAGTACTAGTTGTCTCACTACCATTACAAGATTTAAAATGGAACACCGAGATTTTTCTTGGCGTTGTAACAAAATTATTGTACTTGGTTCCAATAGGAAAAGGCATACATAACAAGGTAGCGGCCGATTTACACTACTGAGTTGAAAAGTGGACGGTGTTGATTGTGTACAGTTGATGTCATGTGTTGTCCCAATAGCAAATACGCTATATCACAATTCTTATTTTGCATGCGGTTCAAGTGGTTACGATAATAGTTTTGATCTCGATAAAAGTTTTAGTTTGACCCCGACCATGCGAATGTGACTACAACCGCGTTTTCATTGTTTTTTTTTTTTTGACCTTTTGTTCCCGTTCTCCATAACACAACCATCTATTTGCCAACATTCAAGAGAGAGACCTGCACCCAACAAAACTTAACATTGTTTCCTGATCGTACCATGACAGATGCACCAAACACATATAGAGCACAAAATGCAAAGCTTAAAACGCATCAAGATTATAAGAGCCAAGAGAAATTGCACACACTGCATTAAACACACTCGTTGTCAACCCTACCATCCCCAAACTGGTCCCGTTCGTTCCACTCCCCCACTCCGAACTTAACCCAACCCATTTGTTCTTAGCTAGAGCCACCACCACCATTGCCAACACACATGGCCATCAGATCACCTTGAACCTACCTAGCTAGCGAGCTAATCTCCTGTAGTTCAGTAGCTATCTAGCTAGCTTGCCCTAGCTACCTTGCCGGCGAGCTAGGCGGTGGCCGGCTGGCCGGCGATGAGCGAGCACGACGCGAAACACGTCGGAGACGTGCCGGCGGCCGCGGGCATCGAGTCGTTCTCGCAGCTGCCGTTCGTGCGCCCGAGGCCGGCGGCGATGGCCGGCTCCAGCCCCGCGTCGTCCATCCGGCTGTTCGGGTTCGAGCTCCCGCCCGACGGCGTCGTCTCCGCCGCCAGCAGCGACGTCGTCACCGCCGCGAGCACCACCGCCGCCGCCGCTGCTCTCGGGCAGGTGACCGCGTCCGGATTAGGAGGCGGCGGCGGCGGCGGCGGGCGCAAGTTCGAGTGCCACTACTGCTGCCGAAACTTCCCGACGTCGCAGGCGCTGGGCGGGCACCAGAACGCGCACAAGCGGGAGCGGCAGCACGCGAAGCGCGCGCAGTTCCAGAGCGCCATGGCCATGCACGCGCACTACCCGGCCTACCCTGCCTACGCCAGCTACTACGGCTCGCACCGCTTCGGCCCCTCGCCGCCGCACATGGCGCCGCCGCCGCCGCCGCCGTACCCCTCGTGGTCCAACCACCACCACCTCCCGCCCGGCGGTCCCGCGCCCATGGTGGCGGCGAGGTACTACGGCCCGGCGCCGCCAGGCTCCGTCTCGCACCCGATCAACGGCAGCCCGGTGGTGCCGGCCGCCGCTGCGCTGTGGCGTGTCCCCGCCGCCGCCATCGCCGTGGCGGCGGCCGCCGCGCCGCTGGCGCGCCAAGAACGGCAGCCGCCGCTGTCGCTGGCCGGTGGACGCGAGGAGGAGGACGCAATGGTGGAGGTAAGGAGAGGGAACGGGGTAGGCGGCGCCGCCGCCGCGGTGGTGCAACTGCAACCCGGCTCGCGGCTGTCGCGGTCGTCGTCCTCGTCGTCGTCGGCGTCGTCGTCTTCGCAGCATCACCACGAGCGCCGCCGCCTGGGAGACCTGGCAGAGATTAACCGGGAGAATGTGAGCTTGGATCTCACCTTGTAATTCTCCATGAGAATTGAGAGATGCGTGCGCGATTAATTAGCGGGTTCTTGCCTTCTTGGTAAGTGCGAATTAAGAGAAAAAAATAATTCTTTTTCTTTAGTTCGTGAATTCGTTTAGCTAGAGATGCTCACAAGAGAGGGATTTTCTTTTTCTTCAGTGCCTTTTTTGCAGTCCTTTTTCGCCGCTGCACTCATTCAATATTCCAACCTCGTTCTGTAACTTGTAACTTCTGTTCATCACATTAGATTTCTTTGTTAGAAATAGAGATAAATTCAAGGACAAGACGTATGGAGCATGAAAGATTGTGGTCTCATAATTAATTACTATCTCCCTAATTTTCTACTACCATAAATTAATTCATTACTACTTCCGTCCCAAAATAAGTGTAGCCATGAGTTTTCGCGCTCAACTTTGATCGTCCGTCTTATTTGAAATTTTTTTATAATTAGCATTTTTGTTGTTATGGGATAATAAAACATGAATAGTACTCTACTCGTGACTTATGTTTTTAATTTTTTTCAAAAAAATTTTCAAATAAGACGAACGGTCAAAGTTGGGCGCAGAAAATCATGGCTGCACTTATTTTAGAATAGAGGTAGTATTAATTATTTTATTCTGATTTATTGGAATATGAACCGATGCTTCTTCTGTTCCATTGGAATATTTGTCTGTTGTCAAGTTCTGTCGATGGCCAGCATCTGTCAAGTCGAACCAAATAATTACAAGTATCATTATTTCATTTTCTTCCTAAGGTGTCTATGTCCCATGATGCTATTCATCCACCACTTGGACTGACATGTCAAATTTCTGTATTTGACACATCTGAATTCTGACCTTCCCAAGATGCATGGCATGTTGGACTCAAGATATGGTGAAAATTAACAGTGCTACGGTTAGGGGGAAAAAAAGTTAAACAGTGCTAAAGCATATGACTGCTTCTTCCCAATTGGTATTCTGCAAATTCTGAAATCTTTTATACTTTCTCCTACTTTTTTATTAGACATAAATATTAAGAAAGTATATGAAATGAAATAGGAGAAGTTTCTAATTAGTTGACAAGAGAAAGAGAAAGTAGGTTAGAAAATTAAATAGAAAAGAATTATGATTGGTTGATAAGAGAATTCATGTGGAGAAGTTGTTATATTTTGGGACGGAGTGAATCTTGTATTAGCTTTCATTTTAAACCTACTCCCCAAGTCCACAAATATAGTGGATTTTGGAGGTCACAATTTGTCCACAAATATAATAAAATTAGGGTATTATCCCATCAATCACCCATTATTCAATTTCTTTCTCATCTTACCTCAATCGTCCTCCAATTCTCAACCACCCCTCTTTTAATAAGTGGATACTATTTTTTCTCTACATCCTTAATCTTTCCAAAAGATTCTAACATCCATATGATCCATTACACCCATTGTGGACGGAAGGAGCTGCTATTTTGGACAGTTAAAGTTAGGGTGCACTATTGGATTAAGTATTTTAAACTCTCGAGGAGATGTTTCCTATTTGTTCAAATGTCACCCAAATAATTGTTAAAAATTCTAAAAAATAACAACATTCAAACTCTCTCTCTCTCTCTCTCTCTCTCTCTCTCTCTCTCTCTCTCTCCACACACACACACACACAAACTACTCAAAAAAATCAAGTTAAAACTTAACTCACAAGTTGAGAAATAAAAAAGACAACCCAACATATATGAATAGTACTATTGCATATGTTGTGGTGAAGTGGCACATGTTACTTACTCTATATTGCCAATTTTTTGAAAATTATTTTTACAACTATCTACATTAATTTTGAGAGAAAAAGCTATACGAGTGGACATCTCCTCGATGGATTATAATCCTCTCCCGAACTATTGGATCCTGGTACTTTTTATTGCGGCAAAATAAACTTTTTATACAGTTGGTTGCATACAGCTACTGCAATATTCTGTACTTCATCAGAAAGTATATATAAATCTGAAGAAGCATAACAACATGTCCGTACAAGGACCTGCCCATGTACATCGTTTATGCGTGAATAAGAGAAGCGTTTCATAACCTTCATTCTCAATATGTACTATGCCTTCTCATGTACATCACTGGTGTACTGCCTTTTTAATTTATTGACAGCAAAAGTGTGGTTGACAACAATGATATACGAACATTTCTTCACTTTCAGTTAAGAAATATAAATTCAGAGGTCGCTCATGCAATTCTTTTCTCCCATTATATATATTGAAAAAAAATACAAGAGACAGATCCTCGCAAAATAAATGGTGTGTTAGCTTATATATATTGTGTCTTAGGAAAAAAATGCTTGATGGTATGTAATTTCATTTACGCCTGAAATATACATGCAAATTTCTAGCAAATATTTTTTTGTGTTTTTGCGGATACATACTTCTAGAAAAAGAAAGGCTCAATCGTGGCTTTGGAGAAAGGGTTCTTTTCAGTTGTAGGCGATGTACCCGTCAATAGTGAAACACTTGTGATGATTTTGTCAATCTGATGATAAGTTGGCTTAGTCTTTGAGGTGCTTATAAGATAGGGTTAAGTTCATATGGAGTGAGATATATATATGTATATGTATATATATATATATATATATATATATATATATATATATATATATATATATATATGTATATATATATATATATATCTCACTCCATATGAACTTAACCCTATCTTTTGCGTCTGTATTGTGTGTTTAGATAAATAATTATGCTTTTGGAAATGTGGCAAAAATAATCTCACCAATAATCCAAAAGGAAGGGGGCTGAGGCTGCGTTCAATTGAGCTTTAGATTAGCTTTTTACTTGAACATTTACACGCACTAGTATATGATTAAGTGAGTATTAATTACTGTAAACTTAAAAAATATATTTATTTGAACTTCTAATAAATTTATATATATAACCTTTTTAAAAGAATCGTATCGTTTAGTAGTTTGGGAAATGTGCTTGTAGAAAATGAGGTAATAACTAAAATCTATGTGTACATTTACTTAAAAAAAATCCATTGTCCTAAAATTTGCTTTCCTTGGCGTCATAACTGGATAGCAATGATGTTCAGTCTACTGCAGATTCATTTTTTTTATATGCAAATGAAATTGTTTGGTCAACAGAAACGTGGCTCTTTCTTGTGGTCACCCTGATTAGTGACGTGCAGGCTTGATAAAATTGAAGTTGGCAGCCCTTTTTTATAGGCCGGCCCATGATTTGATGCGTCAAACCTTGACACAAAATGGTGGCCCATTAGGTTTGATCGACAGTAGTATCGCTATATCATCAGCTTTGCTTCTCTTCCCATTTTTATTCTGTATTTGCAGCATGAACACTTGATTTATTCTCTCTTTTTTTTAAGTACATCGTCTTCACAATCACAACAAGCCGCTTAGCACACGTGAACCAGGGTCAAAATGGTCACAAGCAAATTATTGTTGTTTTTTACTCCCTCCGTCCCAAAATAAGTACAGTTTTGCACTATTCACGTTCAACGTTTGACCGTTCGTCTTATTTGAAAATTTTTTATGATTAGTATTTTTTATTGCTATTAGATGATAAAATATGAATAGTACTTTATGTGTGACTAAATATTTTTAATTTTTTCATAAATTTTTTAAATAAGATGGACAGTCAAACGTTGGGTACAGATATCCACGACTGCACTTATTTTGAGACGGAGGTAGTATGTGGTAATGGTTCCTAGTTGTAAGTTAGTAGTAGCTGCTATTCGCATGATTTGATTATCATCAACGAAATGATTTGACGTATGGGAGTAGTGTTGGACTTGGGAAGGGAGGCTCAGATATTTTGTGTAACTAGTAACATCTCCTGTGATTTGTAATGAGTCGGTCCATATGATTGAGAATTGGCTACCTAGGTGGATTGAGATTAAAGGCAAGGGCGAATGAGGGAGACTCGAGCGGACGATGGGGGAGGGGACGGAAGGACATTCCCGCTTTCACAGTAACGAAGAAATAACATCTTCACACGCTCTCCTCATTTAGTCACTTTGCAAGTCTATGTCATATATTATAAAAATGATGCATTGTAGCTTAAGTTTTATATGGGTTATACAGGTTGCCACTACTTTTTACAAACATATCTTTTTTTACACACGGACTAAAAGAAAACCCGTATGTAAAAAGATTTCAGAGGTACCGGGTATAAACCCGTAGATGAAAATAGGTCATAGGAGGGCCTGTTTAAGAAGCCCACCTACAAGGCCGACCACCCCTCCTTTCCTTCCTTTCTTCATCTTAAAATTTACTAAATCTTCTCTCCCTTATCCTTATCTACTCACCATCTCGTAGCTCCACTTCATTCTTATCATCTCGCCTTCTCTCTCTCTCTCGCTCATGGCACGTGGACGTGTAATAGCCCGTTCTCCAGAACCGCCAATCCAGCCCATCCGATGAGCGAGCTCACTTACATATGTCATCCCACTTACACATTTGTACTCGCTTCATGTAAAATGGTTAACCCGATGGTACTATGGTTGGAGGAACAAGCCCTTATTTGTTGGTTCCGTTTGTGCTAAACTAGAAATGTGGTATTAAGCATGCGCACATGGCTCTCATGGACCACACACGTATATAGGCAAATATTTAGGAGCACGCCCTCTCTTAACACATGTCCGTACGTCCAGTGTCAGCTCCATATGGCATGCCATGTATACTTTACACAGAGCCCACAAGCGCCATATGCCTACGCATTGACAAGTACGTGCAACCGTGAGACCCGGCTCTAATACCATTTGTAACAGCCAGCCCAGTCCATTCGACGAGTGAACACACTTACACATACTACCTCACTTACACTTTTGTCCTCGCTTCATGTAAAATGGTTAAAACAGAGGTGGTATGTTTAGAGGGACAAACCCTTATAAGTTGGTTCTACCATGCTAAACTAGCAATTGTGGTACTAAGCATGCGCACATAGCTCTTATGGGTCACATATGTCAAATCCTAATTGAGCCAGGATGTCACAAGACGCGAGTCAGCAATGCAGCGTGTGTCGACAGTGACCTCGGTAGCGACCGCCCTCCCTTGCCTTCCTATCCCTCGTGGATTTGGTGGCGGCGAAGTGGTTGGGAGGGGTAGTGGTGGACACCCCAGATCACGACGAGAAGGGGGAATGATGATGACAACAACGACAACAGCGATGGCCTCAATGGTGGCGGATCAAGTAGCGACGCCCTTAGGAGGTGCAGTCCGCCGCAAGCCTCTTCCCCTCCCTAGCACGTGGATCTATCGGCGGTGGTGACAGGAGAGGCGGATCTAGAGGCATCTCCCCTCACGCATGTAGATCTGTCATCAGCAGTGACGGGAGGGGTGGATCCGGCGGCATCTCCCCTTCCCATGTGGAACCAGAGGCCTCTCTCCATCCCTTGTGCGTGGATTTGCCTACGACGACGATGAGAAGGGTTGTTCTAGCGGCCTTTCCCCCTACGGCGACAATGGTGATGGGCCTTGGGAAGTGTGGATCAGGTAGCAGGGAGGGCGGCAGTGGATGGCCACTCCCGAGCTAGGTTCCTAGGATTTTTCTTTTGTTTTTTTTTGCCGAAAATTGTTTTTGCAGTCAGTCATATGCGAAAATCTCTTTTACATGCGGTTGTACAATCCACTTGGTAAAATTCCTATTTCTACATACACCACAGGTGCTATACCCATATGCGAAAATGCATTGTAGTCGTTTGGGAAAATTATTTGTGTAGTAATGTGCTAACATAGAATAGGCGTTTTAGAAGCTGTACTTGCTTAATTATCTGCACACACACTGCTCGCGCAGTTTACTTTTATCGTTCTGGAATGAATTAAAGGTTTCAACTAACCACGGACAATTAGCGGTAAAAGAGAAGGTAATTTACAAGATGGGGTTGACGACATTCCACGTGATCACAACCTCGGTAAATTAAAACACTGGTCATCAAACGAGTCTTGAGCCAGTTCGCAGTGTGCCACATTTGCCACTGTCCTACTAGATCTTGGTCTTATTTGAGAAGTAACATTCCAATTAGCTTGTGAGAATCTAAAGAAACTGAAAAATCTGTAGTATTAATTTCTTGTTTATTTTCTAAATTTTATAATTACAGCTTTTTAAAATTTAAATAAAATTGTATAGTTTGAGAAAGGTTCTAGCGGATGAAGATTCTAGAAGAAGCTTCAGCCGTCGTAAACTCACCAAACAGAACCCTTATCTCTTCAGGCGCCGTGACACCGATTCTACAAACCACTAAATGACACACACATTTGCTATCCTGTCTCCTGTTAATTAGACATTTTAGGCGTTAAGTAAGCAGAGGCTGCAGATCTTGCTTGCTATGTTTGGGCTTAAAAAGGCTGCAAATCCCAAAGGAAGAGTACAGATCCAGCTGCCTGACCAAGGCGGCAGCAGCAGCAGCGCATCACACCACACCACACACCGGCCAGCTCAGGAATAGGGGGCCCACATCGCACGCCTAATCACCCACTGGCAGGTGGGGCCCACCACCTGGCCGGCGCGCTTTGTTTAGCGCCGAAGCGATGGGCTCTGCTCGGGCTAAGCAAAGCGCGCGCGCCCCCTCCTCGCGCGGAGCCGTACCCACGTGCGCCCCACGCGTGCACGTGCCTACGTGTCGGCTATCCATGCAGTGGGGCCCATGGCGGCGTGGTCGGCCGCGCCGTGGCGCCCTCCGATTGGCCGGAGACGCGACGCCGCCCGATGGGTGACTGCCACGTGGCAGCGATGCTCGGCTCTATAAATGAGCGCCGAGTCGTGCTCGATCACCTCCATTGCCAGCTTCTTCTCCTTCCTCTTCTTCTTCACCTCGCAAGCGAGAAAGTTCGATTCCAACGATCCGATGGGGAACTCGTACAGCAACGGCGGCTCGCCGGCGGCGGCCGCGGGGTATGTGCAGGCGCCGGAGCTGCCGCTTCACCTGTGCTTCTTCCTGGTGGTGCTGCTCGTCTTCCTCGGATTCTCGTGGTACACGAGCTACGGGTCGGCGGCGGAGCGGTTCGCCGACCAGGCGCGGCTGCTGCTGATGGCGTCGCCGCTCGCGCTGCTGCTCGCCGTGCGGCTGCTGTCGGGCGGCGGCGACGGAGAGCGGCGCGGGGTGGACCAGCTGCGGCAGCTGTCGCTGCCGATGCCCGAGCGGGACTCCATCCACCGCGCCGGCGGCTCGCCGTGGGGCGTCGGGGTGCTCCTCGCGCTGCTCGTCGTCATGGTGTCCTACCAGTCCAACTTCCGCGACAGGTGGTTCCCCCTCGTCAGCCGGTGACCGGCCGACCAACGCCGCCATGGATGCCATGAGAGATTGAGGCAAAGTTGCAAACATACTTCTGATAATTGCAGTAGTATGACATTGCCAGCGACACGATGATGCGATCGAGTGGTGTTCTTGATGGTTTTTTTTTTGTTTTGTTTCTGCTCCTTTTGTCCATGTAAAAGTGTAATTTATCGCCTTGAAAAATACATGTCTGCCACTCTGTCGATTGCCAAATTCAATGGGAACAAACGAATCAATTATTTGGGCTAGCTCGTGCGAATCAGCTGCTGCTCTGTTCTCTCTGCTCCGTGCACGATCCACGACAGGCCGAATGGGCCCACAAATAATGGCCCAATAATAAGTAGGGCCCAATGAGGCCCATTGGTCGAACATGATCGCGAGAGACGTATAGCCCAATAAGGCCCATCAATCGAGCATGATCGCGAGGGACGTGAGGCCCAACAAGGCCTGAAATGGGGACTACGACTCTACGAGTCTGCGACCTATACGTTGAAATTGGAAAGCGTCGTGTTGAATTTGTCTTGGTCGAAAGTAACGTGACGAAATGCACGTGAAATAAAGGAAAAAAGGAAAAGCCTCCACGAAAGACGAAATGCAAAATAAAGATAAAAGGCTCCCTCTCCAAGTAAAGTTTGCACGCTTAGAAAAGTGGTGTTTTTTGGGGACTCAAAATCAGATTCCCGGCCATGTGTAGAGAGAATACAGAGGTAGTAGATGCCAAATGTAGGAAAACCGCTTTGTACAAAAGTACAATGCTTGTTATTCTTTTTCAAGCAAAGTAAAATAAAGCATCCTAGGTCTACTAGCATTTTAGATATACAGCTAGAAACCCTATCGTCTGGAGTATTGTTAAACAAAACGACCATGATTATTACTACCTCAATGTTCAAAATAAAAATACATAGCATTGTTAACTTTTGGATATAATATTTGATCATTCGTGTTATTTCTAAGAAAAACTCTTATATAAGTACTACTTCATCCGTTTCACAATGTAAGTCATTTTAGTATTTTTCACATTCATATTGATGTAATGAATCTATATAGATATATATGTCTAGATTCATTAATATCAATATGAATGTGGGAAATGTTAGAATGACTTGCATTGTGAAACGGAGGGAGTAGCATCTTGTTGTTACTTGTTATACTATTAAATGTAATTTTGTATACCTATATTTCTCATATTTGAAACTTTTTTTCAAATAAGACAAATGATTAAACATTATTTCCAAAACATAACAATGTAATATATTTTAAAACCGAAGAGAGTATAATTACTAGTACTGACTATTTCTTCGTGCGGTCACAAGCTAGAATTCAGAATTCAGATGCTTTTTCCCGCAGGAAAAAAAAATTCAGATGCTTTGCAATGCAAATCAGATCTTCACGAGCACTAACCGCTAAACTGAATAATACCTTACTTTACACACTGAATTCAAGAACAAATTTCAACTGAACTGAAAAACTTGGACAAAGAAGAAATGATTACAAGAGAACATGTAAACATAAAAAAGCTCCGGTTCTTTCACATGGATGTCAACCACCGAGCTCACCTCATTTTCGGCCCATGTCACGAAAGAGAAGGCTCGCACGCACTTGCACGCAGGGGAAAGGCCCGTCACGCAATGATGGGTGCATATATTCCCGACAAGAGGCAGCCTAACACTCAGTCACTCTCTCACTCTCACTCTCACTCTCAGCTGAGCTACAAAGGACAATTAGGGCCTTTAATCCCAGCCTTTGGTAAAACTAATCAGCCCCTGCTTTGGTGCGAAAAAGATGGGGGAATGCTAGCTATCAGCTGTTGCTAGCAAAAACTGGTCTTTTGTCTGGATGGGAGAATCCTATGCTTCTTCGGTTCTTCGTTCAAGATTGATTCCCATGAGACTGCCACATGTAAACCAAAAGTTTATCATGTATAGAAGGTAGTAGGTACAGTAATAGTACTGTTTTACAGGTTTATCTGCACAGTAATGCACTCGAGTGCAGTGACATCAACTCATTAGGTGTGGATGTCCATACTGTAAAAACCAAAGTGTAGTAAAAAAAATCCTAATAGAATTATGCCTGCTGTACATTTGTCAGGGAGTTCTTCAGCTGGAGTGAGGTGTGTATCATCTTAACAAGCAGTGCAAGAGAAAATTCCAGATTTCCAGTTACTGTGTACCAGTTACCAGGCCAGTGAGAAGAAGGGAGGACACATAACACATTGTGTTGGTCAGGTCAGCGATGCCGCAAGCAGCGGTGGAGGCAGCTCCTGGACAGGTCGGGTGGGCGTCCGGGCTCCGTCGCTGCCATTTCCATTGCCGTTATCTGTCGACGGGTATAAAAATCAGTCGGTCACCCAAAAACTAGTAGTTCGGGCTTCATGGTGATGCTGGCTCCGCCACTAGCCGCAAGAGAACATTCCATGTGCGGCGAGGTGGATCATCCTTCCCCGTGGCTGCTGCTCATAGTTCCTCTTTCCACGCGCACGGGCCGGCCGGCGGCGCCACCACGCCGGTCCCGGCTTCCGAGGCACGCGCCACCGTCCACCCTGTCATAAAAGATGAGAAAAGAGCCGGAGAACGTGTGCAAAAGAGGAGCCGCACCTTACCCTCTCCTCCTTCCTTTCAGGTCCTTTTTTTTTCTTTCCTACCCCCTGCGTGCAAAGCTGAGCAGACGCAGCCGAAATATTCTTCTTCTTGAGCTGAAGAACTATTGCAGATGGACCAGCAGTGATGCTGCAGCATATGAAAAAAGAAGAAAAGAAATTAGACTGGCCCTGCTTTTGTGAGTTGATGCTGCAGACATAAGGGGGACACAATGTCATTTGAGCCTGCGGAAACTATTGTTTATGCACTAACAATGCAGCCTTGTGGCCTTTCTTGGCATATGGATTGATGGTTTGATGATATATATCAACAGGGGAACAAAATGTCTGTCAAGACTCAGTCTGATGTGTCTGATGATTCTTATTAGTATCAGTTCACCGTTAGAGATCAGTAAACCTAAACCATCTGCAGTTGCACTCTTTCACTGTATGTCCGCATCAAGGACACGTGTTGTTTTCACTGTTTGGCATGCTTGTCTGAATGGAACCTACAGTTAAACAAGTAAAAGCATGAAACCTGAAAAATGAAAATAGATGCATGGAAGTGATCCTTGTACCTATGTCTATTGTCAAATTCATGCTTCAATTCGATGATTATGGTTTGTGACCAACACCGTTATGCTTGTCAACTAATATTCTAATTATCCACATTATCTCCTTTTTATGCAGCAAAGCATGCATGCTGATGCCGTCATCAAGGCTAATAAACAATCTGTAACAGTGGCCACCTCCTTTATCTTCCTCCCCTCTTTATATCCGGCGTTCCCTCCATGCAACGGCAAGACAAGCCAAACCCAAAACCACACTACACTGCCCTCCAGCTTAGCAGCTCAAGCAGTAGCTGAGCAAGAAGCTAGCTGAGCTCCAAATTCGACGGCAATGGAGTTCTTGTCGCAGATGTGGTCGCTGCTGGGCCTCCTCACCATCCTGCAGAACGTGCTCCCGACGCAGCTACTCTCCCTCCTCCACTCGCTGTGGCAGTCGCTGCAGGACTCGCTCACGCCGTACTCCTACTTCGACGTGCCGGAGTTCCTCGGCTCCGCCGCCGTCGAGCCCAACGCGTTGTACCGCCATGTCCAGCTCTACCTCCACCGCTCACTCCTCCTCTCCTCGCCGCCGCCTCCCCGCCTCACGCTGTCGCTGCCGCGCTCCGTCGCCGTCTCCGGCGGCGGAGGTGGGCATGACGCGGGAGCGGCAGCGGCGGCGGCGACGCCGTCCGTGTCGCTCTCCCCGAACCACTCGGTGGCTGACAGCTTCGACGGGCACCGCGCCGTGTGGACGCACCACGCCGACACGCTCCAGGACTCGCTCGAGGAGCGGCGGTCGTTCTCGCTGCGGCTGCCCAAGCGGCACGCCGCGGCGGTGCTCCCGGCGTACCTGGCGCACCTCGCCGCCGCGGCGGACCACCTGGAGCGGTCGTCGCGCGCGCGGAGGCTGCACACGAACGCGGCATCCCCGCGCGGCGCCGCGGCGTGGTCGTCGGTGCCGTTCTGCCACCCGTCCACGTTCGACACGCTCGCGCTCGACCCGGAGCTCAAGGCGCGCCTCCTCGCCGACCTCACGGCATTCGCCGACGGCAGCGAGTTCTACCGCCGGACGGGGCGGCCGTGGAAGCGCGGGTACCTCCTCCACGGCCCGCCCGGCTCTGGCAAGTCCTCGCTCATCGCCGCCATGGCGAACCACCTCCGGTACGACGTGTTCGACCTCGAGCTCACCCGCGTCGCCACCAACGCCGACCTCCGCGCGCTCCTCATCCAGACCACCAACCGCTCGCTCATCGTCATCGAGGACATCGACTGCTCCCTCCACCTCACCGGCGACCGCAAGAGCAGACGGAACAAAAGACGCCGGCTCCTCCACGCCACCGCCGCCTCCGACGACGACTCGTCGGACTCCGACTCCGACGGCGGCGACAACCACCGCTCCAAGGTGACGCTGTCCGGGCTGCTCAACTTCACCGACGGCCTGTGGTCGTGCTGCGGCGAGGAGCGCATCATCGTGTTCACGACGAACCACGTCGACGGCATCGACCCGGCGCTGCTCCGCCCGGGGAGGATGGACGTGCACGTGCGCCTGGGCGCCTGCGGCGCGCACGCCATGCGCGAGCTGGTCGGCCGCTACGTCGGCGTCGAGGACCACGAGATGCTGGACGCGGCGGAGTGCTGCGTCCGCGGCGGCGCCGAGATGACGCCGGCCGAGGTGGGAGAAGTGCTGCTGCGGAGCAGGGACGACCCGGACGCCGCGGTGACGGAGCTCGCCGTGGAGCTCAAGGCGAGGCAGAGCGCGGCGGCCGACGAGCTCCAGTGGGAGGACTCGGCGGCGGAGCTCTCCGACGAGTCGCCGAGGAAGAAAGGGTTAGGGTGGGAGGGCAAGGTTAGGATTCTGGGCCGGCTTAGGAGCTTGACCAAGTCGGAGTCCGGACGCCGAGGCGTTTAGTTTGACTTTTGTTGACTTGATGTTTTAGGTCAGGTCTCCGTCAAAGTTTGACCTAATGTTCAAATCTCAAGATTGTGTTCTGTTAGGAATCGAGTGGGCTGCCAATGGGCCTGTACAACCATTCATTCAAGCTGGCCCAAGCAAACCCAAGGTAAAGAACAAAAGCAACAGCATCGGTTCTTTCAGGGGAGGAAAAACACAGAAAGGGGCAGGACGGCGACCAGCCTGAGCGGCTTGGCGATCGGCGGCAGCGGCGGCGGCTTGGATCCGGGCTAGATCCTCGTCGAGTATCTATTCCCTCCTCCACCTCCCATTTCCCTAGCTTCTAGAACCTTCCAGAACCCCTGTATTTCCTCGTCTTCCACCTCCAAAAACAGCACTGTTGACTGGATAGTTGTTCGTGGTGAAATTCTTGTTGTTTGGTGATTTGGTTGCTAACAATATGGTATCAGAGCCGCTGATCCATGGGATTTCAAGCATGGAGGCAATGGGGAAGTACCGCTGCGGCGTCCCGTGCAGTTGGTCATTGGATTTGGGCAAGGCTACTGCTCATGGCACCAACGCCCACAACCTGTTCGGTGAAATGTCAAGCCAAGGAGAGGTGTCCCAAGAAGATCTCAAGATATCTAAGGCCGTCCCCATCAATTCCCCCATGAACAAAGAGGAGAAAATGATGGATGAAGCTCTGGATCAGATATTGGAGAAGCTTGAACAAATGAAGACCAAGCGTAGGTGCAATGAGAAGATTGATCAGATTTTGGAGAAGTTGGACGAGATAGAAGCTAATAGGCGCTATAGTTGGCCATAAGGCCCGAGGCCCGAAGGCCCGGCCCACGGCACGCCTTTTTGGCCCGGCCCAAGCACGGCACGGCCCGACTTGGGTCGGGCCCGTGCTGGCCCGGCCCGACCGTCGGGCCGTGCCTGGGCCTCCCCACCGGCACGCTGGGCTGGCCCGGCACGGTCGGGCCGGCCCGGCACGATGGGCCGGCAGGCCAGGCCCGGTACATAAAGTATAGGGACTAAAAATAGACATATAAATGTAACTGTCTAAAGAATAGGGACCTTAAATAGACTTATTTTAGCTATTTATATACCCCAGCCCAAAGAAGAGGGAGGTAAAATAGACTTTTTGTGGCTGTACATATGTCACAGCCCAATAGGAGGGAGGAAATTTAGACTTATTCTGAGGAAAAGCATGACGGCCCATCGTGCCTTCGGGCCGGCCCGGCACGGCCCGAGGCGTGTTGGGCCGTGCCTGGGCCGTGAGTGCGGCACGTGGGCTGGCACGGCACGGCCCGGTGCGTCGGTCGGGCCGTGCCGGCCCGACAAGCCTCGGCCCAGGCACGGCCGGGCCTGGGCCGTGCCGTGCCGGGCGGCCCACATGGCCAACTATAATAGGCGCAAATCATTCGAGGAGACAACTAACATCATCAAGGCGACAACCTCCATCTTCAATTCTGCATCATCTTCAACACCCCCGACCTCGCCTACTCCAGTGCTCGCCAAGTGTTCGTGGGCGTGTTCCAACAGTGCCAGTGCGTACACGACAACAAGTGCAAGCCACAACATTGATGTTCCTACTCCGACAGTCGCCATGGGCTTGCAGGTGAGTTTGAACCATGGCATTGGTACTACAACAGTGACGCCCACCAAGTGCTTGGTAAATTGCTTCGACAATGACACCGGTGTGAATCATGCCATTCTTGAGGAGTCGTTTGCTAGTACCACTGCTGCAGCCACCATGGAGACAGTGGTTAGCGAGGACAAGGCCTGCTCTATTTTCATCAATACTACTGACCTCACCAAGGTTATGCATTCAAGGTGTACGACAATCAGCCTCAAAGACAACATCGGTACTATTCAGGCCGAGGTTGCATTCCCCTTTCCGTTTCACACACTGAACATGATTGCAGCACCAACGGAGCCCATGCTAGTCATGGCAGAAAAGCTGGATTCCATTTTCTGCATAAAATTGGTGATGCCCAACGGGTGTTTGATGAAATGCCTCAAAAGTGAAAAGAGGCTGCTGGCGGGGCTTCCCAAGAGAAAACCTTGGCCACTTCCTTGGTCAGGTGGTGTGGTTAGAGGAGGGAATGTGTGGCATGTTCCATGGTCTGCATTTGATTCCGTTTGGACAAGTGTATGTCTAATACCACCATGGCCACCGCCAATTAGACTTAAGCAATGCAGGTCCTGGAAAATTGGAGTGGCAATTAGTCTGTTTGCTTGGAAGGCACAGTGGGATTTCGTTAGTTACAGGAGCTGCACCGTTGTTGAAATTTCTAGAATGCATGAGCTTGCCTTGTTGGTGCTATTAACTGAAGACCCAAGTGATGATAAAAGAGATGACTTGCTACCGGCATCCAAAAATCCATTCACCTCCTATATGATGGCACAATATTTTGAGGTTATTGAAAGCAGGCTTATTAGTGATATAAGCCACTTGGATGGCAACAATGTTCAGGATACTTGGGACTGCAAGGGAATTCTAGTTATACTAGAAGATGGTACCAGCAAATGGAGAATGCAAGGGATCAAGCCAAGTGCAAGCAAGAATATAATTTCAGCATGGAAGAATGTTTTTATTCCAACCATCAAATCAGTCTTGGAAGGTGACAAGCAATTCTGCATTTACAAGCCAAATATTAGCACTTATTTGCTATGTCATGTTGCTATGCCAACTATTCTTGGAAGGCTGAAAACAAGAGGCACAATTGTTAAGCTTGTGGTAAAATATGAGCACTGTGAAGAAGGCATACTAAGCTGGAGTGGAATATTGTCATTACTCATTACAAGGAAGGGCAATAGTGATGGGAATGACTTGATCATTTTGATTATCCAAGAGCTACAAGTGCCATGGGATCCGGGTGGTTTGCATTTTCAGAATTTTAATTGCCATCGACTTGCGGACAAGTCGAATTTTAAGAAGAGGGGATTGTTAGGAATCGAGTGGGCTGCCAATGGGCCTGTACAACCATTCATTCAAGCTGGCCCAAGCAAACCCAAGGTAAAGAACAAAAGCAACAGCATCGGTTCTTTCAGGGGAGGAAAAACACAGAAAGGGGCAGGACGGCGACCAGCCTGAGCGGCTTGGCGATCGGCGGCAGCGGCGGCGGCTTGGATCCGGGCTAGATCCTCGTCGAGTATCTATTCCCTCCTCCACCTCCCATTTCCCTAGCTTCTAGAACCTTCCAGAACCCCTGTATTTCCTCGTCTTCCACCTCCAAAAACAGCACTGTTGACTGGATAGTTGTTCGTGGTGAAATTCTTGTTGTTTGGTGATTTGGTTGCTAACATGTTCATCTTGATAAGTTAATGCATGGTTTTGTTAATGCAAGCCAAAAAGGCTACAAATCGGATTAAATTTACTTGAACGAAACAGATTGAAAAAAATCCGAACACAATGCGGAAAAACTAAACGCCTTTTGAACTCGAATCGGATCAGTATCCTAAAGCCTTCTTATTCTCTTGGCCTGATTATGTCCAAGGCCAGTTGCAAGCAACGTCTCTCTTCTGCATAGCCACCATGGGAGGCGGCGACGTGTGCACCATGGCCGACGAGCGAGATGATGGCACGGGCACGGCAGCATCCATGGCGGCGACGCGGCTTGCCGAACTCTGCGCCATGATCGACGACCACGCCGCCGCGGGGACGATGAGCGAGAAGAGGGTCGCCACCATCTGCGCCATGATAGAGGAATGCAACGACGACGTGGAAGAAGCAAGCCGCCGGCGGAGCAGCCGGAGGAGATCAGGCAGGTGGCGGCGGCGCGTCGGCGGCACCAGCAGCACCCGGTGCTACAGGCAGATCGGCAGGATCAGCAGCGGCGGCTTCGGCGTCGTCGTCAAGGCGGAGCACCGCGACACCGGCCAGACCGTCGCCATGAAGACCCTCTTCCGCCGCCGCCGCTCGGCCGACGACGACGCCGCCGATCTGCTCCGGGAGGCATCCTTCATGGCGGCCTGCCGCGGCAACCCTTACCTCGTCGGCCTCCACGGCGTCGCGCGCAACCCTCGCACCAAGCAGTACAGCCTCGTCATGGAGTACGTCGGGCCGAGCCTGAGCGCCGCCCTGGCCGAGCACGTCGAGCGCCACGGCGGCGAGGGCTACGCGGAGGCGACCGTGCGGCGGATCATGCGCCAGCTGCTCACGGGCGCCGCCGCGATGCACGAGCGCCGCATCATCCACCGCGACATCAAGGCCAGAAATATCCTCGTCGGCGGCGACGGCGACGTCGTGAAGATATGCGACTTCGGGCTGGCCATGTCCACGGCCGAGGCGGCGGCGCCGTACCGCCGGGTCGGGACCGACGGGTACATGGCGCCGGAGGTGCTGCTCGGCATGCCCGACTACGACGGCCGCGTCGACACGTGGTCGCTCGGCTGCGTCATGGCGAAGCTCCTCTCCGGCGAGGCGCCGTTCCGGGGAGAAGGCACGAGCGACCAGCTGTACCAGATCTTCGACATGCTCGGCGTCCCGGGGAACAAGACACGCGAGGCCTTCAAGTCCAAGTCCGAGCTCCTAGCCTACGAGGTCCGGCGATGGCAAGCGCTGCGGCGGCCGCAGCCGGAGCAGGAGGCGCGCGGCTGGCTGCCCGAGCTCTTCCCGGAGAAGTTGCTGTCGCGGGACGGGTTCGACGTCCTGAGGGGGCTTCTCACGTTCGATCCCGGCGAGAGGCTGACCGCCGCCGCCGCGCTCAGGCATCGGTGGTTCGCCGGAGCTGACGCTGATGAGTCCGGCGTCGCCGCGTTGCTCAGGAAGACGGCATCGATAGTAGCTGGTGCGGTCATCAGTGCTGGGGCATTTGTTGGAACTTGGATGATACCTTGGTGCGACTGCAGGACGGCAGGCACCGAAGCATAATGAATGCATCAATGTGTTGTATACTTGTATACTCAGGTAGTGTTCTTTTCCTCTGAAGATTAAATTTTTTACGCAAAGTGATGTGATATTAACGTATAATTGATTGAGTTTTAATTATTATAAACTTGAAAAATAGATTAATATGCTATTTTAGATCAACTTTCATATAGAAAGTTTTCGCATAAAATGCACCATTTAGCAGTTTGAAAAGCGTGCCACGAAAATCTTAATCATCCAACTATTGTTGGAGAAAAAAGGAGACCTCAATCAATGCCCCTAATGATGTACTCCCTTCATTTCCATATTATAATCATTTTGAATTTTTTTCATAATCATTTTTTTTAGGTTTAACCAAGTTTTATGGAAAAGTTTAGCAATATCTATCATACTAAATTAGTTTCATTATGTTGAAAATGGTACTATATTTTTCTATAAGATTGGTTAAACCTAAAAATGTTTGACTAAGAAAAAAGTCAACAATTTATAACATGAAATAGAGTACACTATTTTTATGCATGAATTATCGATTTATCGATGCAATAATATTATGCTTGAATGATCGATTTATCGGTGTACATGCTATTCTCATCCTTCATAGACAAGTAGCATTTGCCCGAGAAACAAAAAAATCGGAGGGAATTGAACATTGTTCTTCCCATAAATTAGTCAAACTGCCAATTTTCATAAAAAGGGTTAATTTAAACCTGTTTGGTACAATTCCAGTTCTCAATTCCACGGTAGATTTGAAGTTTTTATGTTAAAATATAGTGGTTTAAAATCTTAAATTTCATCTATTCAAACAAAATAATTTATCCAAATGTTATCGACGTAATCGTGGATTTAGATCCATGAATTTGTAGAGTTGGGAATACCGGCTCCCAAAAAAAAACAAGAGCTATACCAAAGAGGGTCTTACTGACTTTTTTTTTTCTAAAAAAAAAAACATCGGTTCTCTGTACCAAATGTCACCAAGAACCACTTTGTAGCATTCGGTGGCTGGAGAAAAGGGGCATTTAACTATTTGCCACTTTTAAGACGTGGCATTTAATAATTTGCTGCTTATAGTCTATGACATCAGGGTCCAGAGGCAAAACATTGTTCCAAATCTCGCACACATATCAGACAAAACAGGACGGAATAGATGAACCTATGAGGCAATGAATATTTAAGAGAGTGATTTTTCGTCTACAGGGTTTAGCAGAGTAGCCAAGTGTACTGTAGTACACTACACATACCACAGTCTGAGCAAATTATAGGAGTGACAATGGGCAGGCTTGCGCAGAAGAAAAATGTAGGAGCTAATCATCATGTCGATACCTGATTCTTGAACCCTGGTAGTAACATCTACATAGAGGAGAGAACAATCAATTGACGATTCATAAGTATATGAGTTTGCCTCAAAAGAAAAACACATATCCAATATTTTAGAGTAAGAAAAAGAAAATTGCATAGTTTGATTATTACGATAGAAGATATACAATGCCCAATACAGTTGATAAGAGAAATGCGGCAAACTGAAGTATTAACTATCCTAAGTTGGTGAATTACACTAGTCAATTAAATTAACTAAATCTACCTGAAAAACCAATTTGAAATTTTTCAGAAGTTTTCACCCCCTAGAACAGACTGTTGTCTGAAAACATGTATGGCAATCAAGCCAAGTCTGAGTTTAATTGAGCTTTATTCAAAGTTGACTTGCTATAGTTCAGAAGCTATTTTAAAATCAATTAACAGCCCCTAGTGATCCATCACAAACAAGTTTCATGTGCAATAAACCTATTTCAACATTGAACCAATAAATGAACTCAACTGAACAAAATTTAACAAAACCAAACCAAATAGTGCGCCAATTCCCGAATTTGTGGTGCCATGTTTCAACATATGGAATTACATAGGTTTGCATGCCTCAATGTACCCCCTTCTTGTTATCACGAAGCCATGTTTCACGAATCAATCCAGAGAGACTAACTACATATCCCTAATTTCCTCTATCAACACCAATCACCTGGGCTTCCAACTATAAATTGTTATGTTGCAGAAATGGCCCACCAAAGAACAACAGAGTTATTGATATCTTGTAGATAAGCCCAAAGGTTAAAGGTGGCTTGTTATCATGCTGTTGTAACTTGTAACTCCTCAAGATTTGCATGCCAATAAAAATAAAATGGGATTCTAAGCTCTCAATAGCTACTGATATTCTGTTCAATTTATCTTTTGATCTACTGTTAAATTATTGCAGAATGTAAATTCTTTGCAAGCCAATTATACCTATCAATGCAAGTCCTACAATGTTAATATAGATAACGATTAGTAGCTTCTAAAAGCAGTTGTGAACTTGTGATACCAATAAAGTTGTGGATTCACTCAATTTCAAAGGCCAGAAGTATAGATAGCAATCAAAAGAACTAAATCAACACATATCATAAGCATTACCAATTTCACTTGTGAAAGGAGTTCTAATAGCGGTGATTCGACCAAAATGTTCTGACGATAAAATTACAAACATTGTATTATGCAAAGGAGAACCTAGACAAAAGAAATTCTCTGGAAATACACAGGAAGCAGACTAGAAGCGTGTTCGTTGCAGATCAGACTGGCAAGATCCGCTTACCGTCGGTCAGCGGCGTGCGGACCTGTACCCTAGGGGAATGGCGGCAGCCGCAGCACGGCCTGCTCGGTCTCCACCGGGTCCGACCGAGATATCTGCAGAAATCACAACACCGAACAGATTAATGGGAAGGAACCAAATCACCCCATGGGTTCTGAGATGGGGAGGGGAGCGAACCGGGTCGCGGAGGACGGGCTTGGTGTCGTCGGCGACGGGGCGGAACGGCGGCTTCTTCTTCTTTTTCGTGGGCGCTCCGGAGGAGGAGGACGGGGTCCTACCCGCGCTGGTGGTGGTGGTGACAGCGGCGGAGGAGGAGGAGAGGATTGAGCCGGAGAGGATTGAGCCGGAGAGGATTGAGCCGGAGGCGGAGAAGAAGGCCCCCGACACCGGCGAGGGGCTCGCGAAGGCGGCGTGGGCTCTTTCGCTTCCGGCTGACATGGCCGCCACGGGACAGAGAGGCTCCACTCCGGTCTGGAAGGTTTCTGTTTTTTTCCCCTTTCTGCAGAGTCTACTTCTACCTCTCCATCTAAACTCTCAGTTTGAAGATATAAATATGAAGGTCTTTTAATTTGTTTATTTAGTAGTATTAAAATTAGATCAAAATATTTAGTACTCCGTATCTTTTAAGTCACTTCAGTTGTTAGTTTTAAGATTTTGAACGGATCAGATTCCCTTTTGAAGCATCAAATTGACCTGGTTTCACTTAAAATTTAAGTGTTGTGAAACATGATAAATTAGTAAAAGAAATTCTTATATTGTGATATAGAATTTGATTTATAGCAATTCTTATACTGGTACTTTAATTTTTCTTTCGCTTTTACGCTGTTGTACGGGATACCATTCCGAAACAACACGATAAATATCAAGTCTTATACTATATGCATAAAAAGTACCGAATCTGATTGATATTGAGGTACCAAGCAAGATACATATGACTGAGCATCGCTAGTTCATCGATGCCTCGATGCATCCATTTTGTAAAAAGCATGCCCCGGTCTTTTGCTACCATTCTTGGACGACGGAAACAAGTTCCCTTATCATCGAACCACGGTGAAGAAGCATGTCTACCGATATCAGCACAAGACAAGTATGAAGCCAACGAAGACACTGCATGTTGGTTAATGCCGTGCAGCATTGAGCTTGTTGGCAAGCATCCTGTTGCACATTGGGACTAGTGGTGAAGGACAAGAGCAACATGCGCTCGTAAAACGACTCCTTTACTGCAACATTGCATGTCGACGAGGTTATCCCTAACATCGACTAGTGCGGCTACCTTCGCAAGAAGGTGCCAGCCATGCTAACGAAGTTGCCCCCGACACGGATTGGATACAATCCACCTTGCACCATAAAGTCGCCCACATCCGCGAGCCTATTGGAGGCGCAACCAGTAACAACACCAACTAGTTGTAACCATTCACATATGATATAGTCCAAACCAAAGAGGATGGCTCCAACACGGATTGGTGGTATAAGCAGGATTTCTTTGATTAAGATGATTGTGAAAGCTTGTCGAGGCTGTAATTGATTCATGGGCTAGCAATCGAAGGAGCCCATACTTGTTTCGTGCATATCTCTTTTCTCATGAACGGGTTGAGAAATAGGAGAAGTTGTACACATGCTGCTAACTTGCTCGAAGTAGGAGAGGTCTTGTCAGGTGTATGGCGTGTGTATCCCGTTCCAGCTTTTTCTTTGCAGGAGTTTTATTTTAATTTATAATCAAATTTTTTAAAATTGTTTTCCAAATTCCACTTGAAGTCTGTTTTTCTGTTTTCCTAATTCCGCTTGAAGTCTATCCTCCTCCGTATTTGATAAAATGTTGGAGAGAAATTTGTAGGGCTGAAATGCAACTTTATTTGTTGATCCCGATCATCTCTAATCCAAACCGAGCTTATTCTGTGCACGGACGATTTTAAATTTCTGCTCATCACTCATCAGCAGTACAACTCACAAAAAGAGGAACCAATGTCCCACCTGGTGGTGGTCCCGGGCTTCGCTTTCTCTGCGATTCACGCCACCTACAGTGGGCCACACCAAAAAAAATCGCATCCCCACCTCGAAACTCCCGGTCCCACCTAGCAGTCACACAACCCTCACCCTTTTTCAAAAAAGATTCCTCTCCCCGCCCAAAATTACGACCAAATTCAGCACAAATCCAAAACCGAAAAATTACAAAACGAGGAGAGAGAAACGAAACGAAACCACTTCGCCTCCCTCCGCAAAATCCCCCAAACCAAACCCCCCCCCCCCCCCCGCTCGGTGGAATCGGTTGCTCGAACCCTAGCCCCTCCAATGGACGACCACCAAACCCAGGATCTCGTCAAGGAGCTCGTCCACCGCCTCATCTCCGCCGAATCCGGCGGCGGCGGGAGGGATGCGGGGGGCGCGCTGCGGTTCGCGCACCGGCTGCTCTCGAGCCGCCTCGCGCCAGCCGTCCTCCCCGACGAGCACGCGCTCGCGGAGTCCGTCAAGCGCCGCCTCGCCGCGTCGGGCCGCCCCGACGACGCGCTCGCCTTCGCCGACCTCCACGCCAAGCTCTCCGCCAGGTCGCGCCCGGCGTCGCTCTGGCCGCTCCTCTACCTGCTCGACTCGCTCTCCTCCCACCGCCGCGCCGCCGCCGCCGCGTCCTGCCTTCCCAACCTCCCCACGGCCGCGCCCCCGCGCGCCGCGGGCTCGGGGGCGGCGGCGGCGGCGGCGGCGGCAGGGGGGAAGCCGGCCTCGCGGGCGCCCGGGGCCCCGCCCGGCGGCGTGGTGCTGGTCTCCAAGGATCCCGACAACATCCGCGAGATCGCGCTGCGGGAGTACACCGAGCTGGTGCTCGACGAGACGGAGGTGTCGGAGGCGGCGCTCGTGCGCGACGTGCTGTACGCGTGCCAGGGGATCGACGGCCGGTACGTGCGGTTCGACAAGGGCAGCGACGCGTACGACCTCCCCGACGGCGTCCGCGTGCCGCGCTCCACGCGCACCCTGGTGCGCAAGCTATGCGAGCTGGGGTGGCTGTTCCGCAAGGTGCGGGGGTTCATCTCCGACAACATCAGTCGCTCTCCCTCCGATGCTGCCACCGAGGTCGGCACCGTTGCTCAGGCCTTCTGCTCCGCTCTACAGGAGGAGCTCTCTGATTACTATAAGCTCCTCGCCGTTCTCGAGTCTTACTCGCTGAATCCGATTCCTACGCCTGGATCTGATTCAGGGGTGTCTGGTAATTACCTCTCTCTGCGGCGTCTTGCAGTTTGGCTAGCTGAGCCTGCGGTGAGGATGCGCCTAATGGCGGTTTTGGTTGATGGATGCCGGGGTTTGAGAGGTGGCGCAATGGCTGGTGCGATCCATGGGCACGCACAGCATGGGGATCCCACCTTCCAGGATTTTATGGGCCGCTTGCTGCGGCGGGTGTGCTCACCGCTGTTTGAAATGGTCCGAAGCTGGGTGTTAGAAGGGGAGTTGGAGGATGTGTTTGCAGAATTCTTCATTGTTGGGCAGCCAGTCAAGGCTGAGTCTCTGTGGCAGGAGGGCTATCTTCTTCAGTCTGATATGCTTCCAGCTTTCATTTCTCCAGTACTGGCGCAAAGGATTCTTAGAACCGGGAAGTCAATCAACTTTCTTAAAGTTTGCTGTGATGATAATGGTTGGGCAGATGCTGCTACTGAGGCTGCTGTCTGTGTTGGCACCACAACTAGTCGAGGTGGGCTTGGTTATGGGCAGATTGATGCTTTGGAGGCACTAGTGGTTGAAGCAGCCAAGAGGATTGATCGGCATTTGATGGATGTGATCCATAAGCGGTATCGATTCAAAGATCATTGTCTTGCGATTAAGAGGTATTTGCTTCTTGGGCAGGGTGACTTCGTCCAGTATCTGATGGATGTTGTTGGCCCTGAGTTGTCAGAGCCAGCAAATAGGATTAGCTCCTTCCATTTGGCTGGGTTGCTTGAGACTGCGATCCGAGCATCTAACGCTCAATATGATGACCGTGACATCTTGGATCGCATAAAGGTAAAGATGATGGATCATGGAGATGGTGATCGTGGCTGGGATGTGTTTTCCTTGGAGTATGATGCTAGGGTTCCTCTGGATACGGTATTCACAGCTTCTGTCATGAAGAGGTACCTCAAGATTTTTAACTTCCTGTGGAAGCTTAAGCGTGTAGACCATTCATTGACTGGAATCTGGAAGACAATGAAGCCTAACTGCATTGTTTCATCTCCATTTTACAAGGAGGGAACAAACATCAGGTCTCAGTTTGTTTCAGTTCTTCGCAAATGCCAAGTTCTATTTAATGAAATGAACCACTTTGTGACCAACTTCCAGTACTACATTATGTTTGAGGTCCTGGAAGTTTCCTGGGCTCGTTTCTCAGAAGAAATGGATTCAGCAAAGGATTTAGATGATCTTCTGTTGGCACATGATAAGTATCTCACATCGATTGTGGAGAAGTCTCTCCTTGGTGAGAGATCACATGGAATTCTGAGGAATCTTTTTGCACTTTTTGACATCATTTTGCAATTCCGGAGCCATGCTGATCGGTGGTTTGAGCGGATATATGAGTTGCAACTGAGGTTAGATTGTTGCATAATTAACCAATGCCATCTCTCTCCATCTTATTACATATATGCTGTTTGATTTACCTCTTCTTTTTTTTACTGCAGGGGAAAGGGTAAGCCAAAATCAAAAGCAAAAGCTAAATCCAAGGAAGTGGATTCATGGGTGGATGGTGGGAGGAAAGCCATGATTCAGCTGGCTGGGGAACTTTTCCGGAAAATGGGTGAAGATTTGGATAGCATCGCGAAAGATTATACTTCTTCACTTGATGCATTTATCGCTCAGTTACCTATGCAACAGCATGTTGATTTGAAATTCCTACTCTTCCGCTTAGACTTCACTGAATACTACAGTCGTGTTTCGTCTAACAAATGAAGATGTGTTCCTGATGTGGAAAAAGTAGGGAGTTAGATTTACTCTTTGGTTTGGGGTTTGTGAGGCATTCTTTTGTACACCTTAGCCCTGCTGATTGATATTTGGTCATTTGAAAGGCATGGTCTGCCACTTTCATTTGTCCTGAACCTCCTGTTGAATTCACCCTTTAAGGTAACTTCTAGGGCCAATACAACTATCCTCATTTTATATGTGTTTCCCGATGGTAGAAGTGTTTATGTTGATTATTTGGTTTTTCTGCAGAGTTTGCCCACGCATGCCATGAAGTTGGAGGCTTGCTGCCATGCATTCTGAACAACTATAGTGTACAAAATTGATGTAAGTTTACTTTGGTTTTCACTTTTAGATGAACTGGTGTACATTTCATGCACACATTTTCCACCCTGATTTTTTAGAGTTGCATTGTGTGGGGGCTTCTCCTTACCAGTTTGTATTCTTCGGTTACAGGAGAATGAAAAATCTCATTTTGCTAGTTGCTGTTCTTTATCTGGTCATCAAAATTGTTGTTAAGTAATTCAGGATGCCTATAATTCGTTTGTTTGTATGAACCGTATCATTCGTTTCCAATCTCAAAATGGCTGTGCGAAAAGTCTGCACATAATGTGAGTTATTCGAGTCCAATATAAGAGTGCTGATTGCACATGGTGTGGGAACCTTCTGCCAATCTTAATTTCATAAGGAGACATAGACTCGGTTCTTTCGCTCAAAATTTTCTACATTGGGAGTTCAGTTACACAAATATTCATCATGTGAAGAAACCACAGCTCATTTGAATGGCTTCGACTGCAGTTTACCTGCTTGCATTACGGTTGCAACTCTTTCTTCAAGTTTGTACTAGTAATTCAACCTACTTTGCTGTCTTTTGTGGGTTGCTCATGTTGTGCACCTGGCTGCCGGCTTGTACATCAGATATAGTTCTACGTTCTCTTGCCTGATAACCTGTGGAGCCCGATCTTTTTTTCTTTTCGGTTCGAGGCAGGTTGCGTCGCGGATGGACGGAAACACTTGTTCTGCACTTCTGCCACGTGTTCGAAGCGTGGCGGTTTTCATCGCTTGTTCTTTTTTTTTTTTTGAGGGATCACTTGTTCTTTGCCATCGGGTGAACGTATTGTGGCTGAGGAGGCAGAAACTTTCTTTCTGGTCTTCCAAACAAATAAAAAAAAAGCAGAAACTTTCTCGTCCACGGATTCCATTAACTTTGATCCCGTTTCTTCCGTTGGTGCTGGAGAGTGCATCTGTGCATGGTGACATCTCTTGATCTATTTTTTCGAATAAAAGACATGGGTCAATCGTGTATGAGTCATCCCTGATGAAAGCTCGTGCATGCTACGCCGTCAAGCTTCCATGTAGTCCTCCAAAAAGAGTACGGACCCAGCACCACCGGTGTTAAATGTATGTGTTACCTGTATTTTCAGTTCAGTTCCTGAGTGTTAAAAGGCAGAGGGATCTAGGCAATACAGGTCGGTTAGAGACTAGTACTATTTTCGTACTACTCTTCAAACAACAAAGGCCGCAGCCATTAATAAACACAAATATTTGTTTTCATTGTCTTTTTTTCTTTTTCCTCATTCTCATACAACAAATTCTCCTTTTATAAACACTAACAACCCTTGATAGATGCCAAGTAAGTACTTCCTCAGTCCCATCCTATAAAGGATTTTGAGTTTTTTCCGTCCTGTCATATAAAGGATTTTGAGTTTTTCTTATACTGTTTGACCATTCGTCTTATTCAAAAAAATTTAGAATTATTATTTATTTTCTTTGTGACTTACTTTATTATCCAAAGTACTTTAAGCATAACTTTTAGTTTTTTATATTTGCACAAATTTTTTGAATGAGACGAGTGGTTAAACATTGCAAGTAAAAACTCAAAATCCCTTATATTATGGGACGGAGGGAGTATAACTTAACTGATTAGGGTTTTTATGCTGAAATTTGCTCACCCAAGTTTAAATTCTAGATTTAACATATGTGTTCGTATTTACAGCTAATTATTCTTTCAATGATAGATGATTGTACCCATCGACAATAAGGCGTCCGTAGTGAGTTCATTAATCTCAAGATATGCCTAACCAGTTTCTCAGAGGTGCTTATAGATGTGAGTATGCGTGCGTTGTGAGCTCTTGCACGTTGACATCGAGATGTCCATGGTGACTTCAATGGTGTTCTTTTCTTCTGAAGATGAAGATAAAAATTAAGTTTTTTTACGCAAAACGAGGTGGTATTAACGTATGATTGATTGAGTTTTAATTATTACAAACTTGGAAAATAGGTTAATATGATATTTTAGAGCAACTTTCATATATAAAGTTTTCGCACAAAACATAGCGTTTAGCAGTTTGAAAAGCGTGCCACGAAAATCTTAATCTTCATCTAACTCTTGTTGGAGAAAAGAACGGGACCGGATTCATCAATCTTAATATATGCTGGACCAATTTTTCAGAGGTGCTTATAAAGTTTGGTATACGCATATGTTGTGAGCATGTACATGTTGACTGTGAGGCGTCTGTGTTAACTTCGTCAATATCAAGATATACCGAACAATCTTTCGGAGGTGTTTATAGGGGTAAGTATGCGTGCATTGTGAGTGTCTACATCTGTATTGTGTTTATTCGAACAATCATCGGTAGACTTAACATCAATATTTCTATCTCATCTCCTCTTTTTTATGAGTGAATTTGCATATTCCATCTATCCCATAAAAGATAAACCTAGTACATTATACGACATATTACAATAGTGTGAATCTGATGAGATGTCACGGTATTAGAAATTTGTTTTTTTATAGGACGAAGGTAGCGGTTAGTAAGACTACGCACAATATCTGTCTTGTCTCTTCTCTCTTATTAGGAACAGTCATGCATAGGTTGTACCATATCCAAGGGGGACTGCTAATGCGCGGGTGATCGCTCCCAGTGATCACCCGCACTCCCCTCCCTCTTCTCCCCCTTCCTCCTCCCCTTCTTCTCTTCCTACTACAGTATACTACAAATTTTTTTTAAAAAAACAAAAGTTAGAAAAATTTATGTATACAAATACTATATATAAAAAATTTGAATTCAAATTCAAATTTGAATCGGGTATGTAAACTTTTGACTTATAAACTTTGGATCTATAAACTTTAGGTGTATAAACTTTAGATGTATAGAAATACTATATATAGAAAATATTTGAATTCAAATTCAAATTTGAATCAGATATAATTCAAATTCAAATTTAAAACGGGTATATAAACTTTTGACTTATAATGCGGTGCCAAAAAAGGAAACCAGGTGGAGGGAGGGGGGGGGGCGAATTGATCGCTACCCAATCCCCCTAGCGATCGATCGCCCATCAGCATTTCCGATATCCAAGAGGTTAATTACAGGTGTAGTACTCACGTAACCAAGAGGCTTTACTTTTATTCGTCCACTCACGCCGAAATTTTTCACGGTTAAGTCACAAAAGCGCGCGAGGACGTTCGTTATCCGACGCGGAAAAGATTAAAAAAAAGTAAATTTCACTTTGGATCATCTTTTATTACCGGTGTTTCACTTTGGGCCATCCTTAACTAATGTTTTAACATTGAACCGGGTAATCTTACATTTGTTTCACTTTGGACTACCCCGACTCTCTTCTCATGCATACGAACGACCTCGAGTACGCCAGTTCATATTCATCAATAAACCTAATTCACACCAAAATTAGAAGTTTGATTGAAATTGGAACGATGTGATAAAAAAGTTGGAAGTTTGTGTGTGTAAGAAAGTTTTGATGTGATAGAAAAGTTGGAAGTTTGAAGAATTATTTTAGAACTAAACATGGCAGATGGATGAGAGAGTTGAGGGGTAGTCCAAAATGACATAATGGTAAACTTATCCGGTTCAAATTGAAAATATTGGTTGAAGGGTGGACTAAAGCGAAACACCAGTAATAAAAAGGTGGCCTAGAGTCAGCCACACTAAGCAAAGCAAGCAACGAGAGTGAGAGATTACAAATACAAATGGAAGCCAGCAAGAGGCAGTGCTGCTCCGGCGTCCATTGCTCGCGACGCATAGATATAGCGCGAGCCGAGAGGAGGCGGAGCACCTCGTCGTCGTCTTCCTCGGTCACGATGGCGCCGCCTCCGCCCTCGTCCGAGCTGCCGCCTCCGCCGCCGACGAACGCCGCCACCTCTTCGTCGGCTATGGCTGTCCCGTACTTCTGCCGCAAGCACGTCGCTCTGGCCACGTACGAGAGGCCCCCGTTCCCGCTGTACTTGTTCAAGACGAGAGGGACCTCCCGAACTACCGCTCCGCCGGCGGCGGCGGTGACGACGACGGCTCTTTCTCCCTGCCGGCGCCGGCGGCGACGCCCTCGACTCGGACTCCGCGTACGGCGCCGTCGCCGGTGGACTCGTTGGAGTGCGTCTCGTTGTTCAGCTCGCGTTCCTCCACCGTATGGACCGTCGCAAAGCAGACCGGGCTGAGGAGCGTCACCGTCGGCTCCGACACCGCGGTGGCCTGCGCCGTCTGCACCGACGACCTCCCGCCGGCGGCGACCGCGTGCCGGCTACCCTGCGGCCACCTGTACCACGCCGACTGCTTCGTGCAGTGGCTATCGCGGCGCAACTCCTGCCCGGTCTGCCGCCGCCGCGTCCCGTTGTTCCCCGATCATGGCGCCGCCTACACCGACGAAGACGAAGACGAAGACGAAGAAGAGATCGCGCCATCGCCGCCGCCGCCTCATGGTCCGGAGACGACGGCGACCGACGACCACCGGCCGCGGTCTCTGCCGGGAGCGAGCTGGATCGGAAGAATCTGCCGCAGGTTGCTTGGCTACACGGAAACGAGCCACCCGCGTCAACTGAACCGATGCAGCGGCGACACGACGCAGCAATGGTGATTTCAATTGAGACCAGTCAGCAAGTAATTTGTGATCAAACCTGGTGTGTGATTTGTCAAGAATGGGTTCTTCGATTAGTGTGGTTAACATTTCGTTTTTCTTGAACTTTGTTGCCTCAAATCCTCGATTGAGAGCTGAATTATATACCTTTTTATTTCTACTACCTCTATTTTAAAATATAACAACTTTTGGTTATGAATCTAGATATATAGTTGTCCATATTTATAGAAAAAATACTTATATTTTGAGACGGAGGGAGTAAATGGAGCTAACTATATCGATCCTCATTTCGAAAGGCAGATGCCCCAGATGGCAAGGGTTTCTACTGCAGTTTATGTTCTGGCTTCAAATTTTCTTGTACACTAAAAATTTTCGTCAAATTTCTGTAATGCAGCCAACTTTGCTACCCTTTTTTTTGTGGGTTACTGATTCCAGACTACAACCATCCGAGTCATCTTACTCCTACTTTAATTGTTGTTTTGAGGAGTCGGACTGTCCGAGTCTTTGAGCCTTTGAGCAGGTCGTGCTTGAACTAAACGCTTTTCTGCCACGCGTTGAAACCGTGAAGTGATTTTTTTTTTGTGTGCAGAGATGCTTCTTGCAAGTACTCCCTCCATTTCACAATGTAAATCATTCTAGTATTTCTCATATTTATATTAATTTATATTAATGTTAATAAATCTAGACGCATATATCTAGAGAATTTCTATGGTCCAACAAGTAGTATCTTCAGATACTGGTACTGCTAGGTACCAAATAAAATCCAATCGTTGAATAAAAGGGGCATGATGGGAAAAAAAAAAGAATCGATTTGCCCTGCGCCCCTGCTTCTGAACTGCTTGTTCATTCGCCATCGTCCTCGAATTTCCGCCGGCACGCCGCCGCGTGAGTGTTCTTCGACGGCATCTGCTCTGACACCACTCCTTGCCGCCAGCGCCACCTGTGTGTTCTTCCATAGTACCACTACTAGTGCCACAACCTTTATTCAGCTAGTGCCCGGTGGCTGTGTTGTTATTTCTCGATCTGTCGCCGCCGGCGATTAACTGCTCGTTGCTCTACGCGATGCCGACTAGCATGGATGGAGGAGGCCATAAATCTTGTGATAATGAGAGGATACCGTGATTGAAAGGGGTGAGAGGAAAAATCAGTGCAGATGGTTCCGCCATGGACTGAGTAGAGAAAAGAAAAAGGGAAAAAAGAAGGATGAGAAAAAAAAAGGCAGATTGTTCCGCCATGAACTAAGTTGAAGAAAAAATAAGACAAGAAACGAAGGATGAGAGGAAAAATCAAGGTAGAATGGTAGATGGCTCCATCGTGGATGAGTCGAGAAGAAAAAAAAAGCAAAGAAAAAAGGCAGATGGTTCCACTTCCGGCATGGACGAGTAAGAAATGTCAAACATACGACTGCTATGAATACATGTTGTTTTGTTAACTGGCTTGGCGGGGAGAAGCGCCGTGCGGCGAGGATGCCGGTGACGGGTTGAGTTCCTGTTGTCGAGTCGAGGTGGGAGATGAGGCTGTTCGTTCCTCCTGGCTGCGAGAAGAGAAGGGGAAGGAGCAGGGGAGCACGGTCCGGCGAGCGCATCGAATCGGGATTCCAGCGAGAGGGGCACAACTTTGAGGCTAAACACAAAATTACGGTTTTACCCTTCGGATGGTTAGTACCGGGAGGGGTGAGCCCTGGTACCGCTAGGCAGGGGTGAAAACGGTACGGAAACGGACGGAAACCATCTTTATCGTTTTCGTTTTCATATTTTTTTTCAAAATTGGAATTGGAATCGGAAACCCCGGATACGAAAAATGGAATCGAATATTATCGAAACCGAAAACGGAGCGAAAACGAACCGACGCAAATACAGTAACGAAAATTTATCGGAATAAAAAAACCCCTCAAACTGATTAATCCAATTCTCAAATCTCAACTGTCAACGATTCATCATAAAACACAATCATATAAGTCCAATTATTAAGTATTAACAGTACATCACAAAACACAATCTATAAAATAAATTATCTATATTTAAAAGAGTAATGATGTTGGTAAATCCCAATGAAGGAAAAAAAATATTCTTATGTAATTTTAGATTTGCATAACAAATATTTTCAAGAAAATAACAACAAAACACCATGGTATTCTCTATTAAGTGCTTAAAAAAAGAACCCAGGGTATTTAGGGTATTTTAGTTACAAAATTTCTGGGAATTCCGAAAAAATTTCCGGAAAGTTTCCGACCGATTCCGAGTTCCGACGGAAATTGCCCTTATCATTTTCGATTCCGTTTCCGAGAAAATATTTCCGAATTCGTTTCCGTTTCCCAAAAATTCCGAAAAAATTCCGACCGACAAATTCCGTTTTCGAAAATAGGTCCGGAATCCGGAAAGTTTCCGTACCGTTTTCAGCCCTACCGCTAGGTACCGGATGCTTGACAGCCGTCCGATCATCCTGGATCGACGGACCAAATTTGGTACCGCTCTTCTCTGCTGGACGATAAAAAGTCTCGTATATCTATGTAGATTCACTAACATCAATATAAATGTGAGAAATGGTAGAATGACTTATATTGTAAAACGGAGGAAGTACTAGCTAGGGTTCACAAATCACAGTATCGCCAGTTACCGCACGGTAACAACGACGACTAAGCTTATGCCCGAGGTGTGCTAAAGATTACCAGGCGTATTGTTCAGTAAATTTTGTTTCAGTTCAAATATAATTTATATATTTTATATTCTATACATTTTCCTTTTTAAAAAATCAAATTTTATCTACGATTTATATGAATTATGCTACATTTTCTCTGATATTCAGAACTCTATAGTTTCTCACGTGCTAACCCCTTCATGTCACGTGATTATGAAATTATCTGGTTTTACACGGTTACTGAGCGTCGCGATTGCCGCGATAGCAGCTGGTTAATGGTAACCCACCATCAAACTGTATAGCCGCAACTTTTTTTTAAAGGGAAAACAGCATGAGAATGTGCCTTTTTCATTAAATATAGTGGTAGAAAAATACAGCCCCTAGAGGCAAGGGAAAGGAAAAAGCTCTATACACTATATAGTGTATGGCAAAAGTTCATGTAAGTGTTTTGCTCCTGCCATTATCCATGTCCGCACCTCTTCCTCGATTTTGGCAAAAAGGAAACACGACATGGCCTCATTATACTTGAAGATTCGTTGGTTCCTCTCCTTTTAGATCTCCCAAACGGTAAGGAGGATGAGAGTACGCAGTCCCTTTTTTGGAACTCCTGCTATGTTTGCTAGAGCTTCCCACCGGTCTTTTACGGTCTGGGTCATCTCCCATTGTCCAAAATCAAGCTGTTGGTAAGCCACCTATATAGCTACCATGCTTCATATTCTTTTTGTGTATCTGCAACTGACAACGAGCTGTAGAGCTGTATCACCTTGTCTACGACAGAGGGGGTAGAGCCCATTATTTTGTCATCCTCTAAATAGTGCGCCGGCCAGAGGTACAAACCTTGTTTTGTATGACTTACCTTTGGAATTCATTCCTATATAATATCTCAGATGACATAACATATATAAATCAAACTGGTTAGAATTCTGAACACTGCTTCCAATTTTTGATTAGTCAAGCGCCTTGCATGGTTATAAACATGCATATCAACATGAGGTAGCTGAATGATGTCACTAGTAAAAAAAGTGTTTACAATATTACTTTGCTCAATTGAACTTAAAAGGTTACAGGAACTTGAAATATCAGCCAACAACATTGTTTGGGCAATTGCGTGCATCATGATCCACTACTTGCTTACACTTTCGACACTTCCGTTTACTTGTACCCTTACTTCCACTTCCAGCCTTCTTCTCCTTGCTCTTCCTAATTCTTTTGCATCTCCCTTTCGATTTGATATCATTTGGTGGATGTATATTGATTTCATTTGGAATTTTACTACCAAGGAAAGATTCATACTCATCCTGTTTATTAACTCTCGTAGCAGGCGTGATCTTTTGGAGAGGTTCTACTAGGTTGGACAAACTAGAATGTAAAAAGTCCATCCCTTGTTCAGAATTCTTGGCCATTTGGATAAGATCTTCAAACTTGTTGCGTGAAACTGAAATCTTTTTCTGCATTGCCACCTCCATAGGATCTTTAGGCTTTTCATCTAGTAGGTTTCCTTCATCATCAAATAATAGTTCCCTGGCAAACATAAAAGGAAAGGAAAGTTGGAGTATTGGTGAATAGAGAAGGAAACAAAACAACCACATAAAAAAAAAATACAATACACACATTTTACATCTTTTCTCCCATCTCTTTATAAGATAAATCGATGGTATCTCATTTTGTTTCTCGGCTCTAAGCACTTGTATGATATGACGACACGGGATGCCATAGGACTCATATAATTTACAGGAGCACCTACCAAACATGTTTGACTTATTCATCTGAACCACTCGCTCTTTTCCAGATAGGCTGCTGATGGTGACAAATTTTATATCTTCACACTCTGAAATACCTTGAATAATGCAATGGTCTCTTGCAGCTACGATTTCTTCCTGAAATTTACTGAAAACTTCATGTGTATATATCACACTACATTGCTTCTCCATGGCCCATGGTGTCATCAATTTAGGAGTGGTGTGAAGACTTGCATTGTCGGCTTTCAACTCCTCTTGGCGCTGGCACTCCAAAGCTGTGTCAAATCTTAGCCAAAACTCAACAAAGGTCAATTTTCTATGAATGAATCGGTTAAAAAAAGAATTTGCACTCTCCGATCATGATGTAGTCCTAAGGATTCCTGCTAGAGGTATGTCCATAAAGTATACCAGAATCCATGATTTGCGAATGGCAAACCTTGTGGAAAACCAATCATTTCCCATGAGTCCAAAATCTGTTATGATAGAGTTCCATTGCGACTCAAAATCATCTGAATTCTCGAAGCCCCAAACACACTTGTTTAGTCTATCCCAAAACTTTTCATCCTTGTTCAAGGTGGGCCCGACCTTCTCAGGTACCTTTTCCATTATATGCCACATGCAAAGTCTATGAGCTGTATCTGGTAGAATCTGAGCAATAGCAGCC